CAATCTTACACGGGAAAAGACCCGAACACGCCAAAACCTGCATACCTGTACCCGTGAAAATCTACAAAAACAAATATATATATATATGTGTGTGTGTGTGTGTGTGTGTGTGTGTGTGTTTTCTTAAGTTTTCACGGGTATTTATATGTATGGTATTCAGCTTTGTTACAACTTTAAAAGCACAACTATAATGACATGGGAAAATACCCGAACAAAGCTGAATACCATAGACAGACAGACAGATAGATATAGATATAGATGATATAGATATAGATATAGATATAGATATAGATATAGATATAGATATAGATATAGATATATAGATAGATGGATAGAAAGATAGGTACCACTGTGGCAGCTTTGCCTGCATCTCCAAGGCTTCGATGTTGGGAGAGGGAGCGAGGGCTGGAAGAGCCGAGAGCTGTGCTCCATCTCCCTTTCCTTGACTCTCTGCACGTGGGCATGGGGGGGAGGGGGAAGGAAAGAGAGAAAGGTGGGAGCAATTCAAAACTAGAGAATTAATGGGGAGAGCTAACAGTGGGCGCTGGGGGAGGGGACTGTTGTTGCCGCCGCCCACTGTATGTGAGAGCTGGTTGGTGCATGCATCTTAGGGACCTGACTCCACGGTCCCTCGAAGAGTCGGGAGGCACGAGAACTGCGTGGCCCAGATTAACTGCTTTTGGGGGCCATTTCTCCTGTGGCCCACCAAAATTTTTCCACGGCTCACCAGTGGGCTGTGGCCCACCAGTTGGCGACCGCTGCTCTAAAACACATGAAACATGCTCAGGTGATGTTTTATTTTATTTATTTTTATTTTATTTGGTTGGTCAATTGCTTAAAAGATAATAGGTATAAGTAAAAACATAGTTATGAATACATGGATACATAAAAGAAAAATAAAAGAAACAATAGGACAGGGATGGTAGGCATGTTGGTGCGCTTATGCACGCCTCCTACAGACCTCTTAGGAAAGGGGTGAGGTCAATAGTAGAAAGTCTAAGCTTAAAGTTTTTGGGGTTTGGGGAAGAAACCACAGAGTCAGATAGAGTATTCCAGACATTTACAACTCTGTTGCTGAAGTTGTATTTCCTGCAATCAAGTTTGGTGCGATTAACCTTGAGTTTGTATCTATTGTTTGCTCTTGTATTGTTATGGTTGAAGCTGAAGTATTCATTGACAGGTAGGATATTGCGATGTATAATTTTATATACTATACTTAGATCAGACCAAAGGTGGCGTAGTTCTAGATTTTCTAGGTCTAGAATTTCAAGTCTGGTGGCATAAGATATTCTGCAACGAGTAGAGGAATGGAGAACTCTTCTTGTGAAATATTTCTGGACTTTCTCAACTGTGTTAATATCAGATGCGTAATGTGGGTTCCAGACTGATGAGCTGTATTCGAGTATTGGTCTAGCAAATGTTTTGTATTCTCTAGTTAGTAGTGTAATATTACCAGGGAAAAAGCTATGTAAGATTAGGTTAACAACTCTTAATGCCTTTTTGGTTATGTAGTTGCAGTGGACTTTAGCACTTAGATCATTAGAGATGAGTATTCCAAGGTCCTTTACAGAGCTTGGATCATCAACATGGTCTTGACTATTCATCCTGTATTTTATTTTCTGATTTTTTTTTGCCAATATGTAGGACAGAGCATTTATTTGTTGAGATTTGAAGTTGCCATTTGTTTGGCCATTCTGATACATAGTCGAGGTCTTTTTGAAGGGTAGCAGTATTGTCTGTTTTGTCCCTATGTTCAAGAGAACATTCATATGTTTAAAGTTTTGCAAAAAAACCAAAACAAAACCAAACCCAGCAGAATCAGGTCCATGCAGGGGGGAGGAGGAAGCTCCACAACAGAGAAGGCATATACTTCCATACTTCCTGAGTCCTAGCAGAAGTCGCTGTTTAATAAATAGGACCTGGAGATAAGCACACTATCAGATCTGGAGGGATCAGCAGAAATAATTGAAGACAGACAGTCCTGAAAATAAACTGTTTCTATGCTTGGCACCTTAGTTTTAGTTTACTTTATTGTCATTGCACCTCATACAACGAAATCAAACACCAGCTTCAGTGCACATCATGACCATGAAAATAAACACAAATACACATCCTTCACACTCCACACATTGAATTGAAACCCCCTGACACCGCACCAACACTGCACTACACAGTAGAATTCAACAGACCTACTGCCCTGGGATAGAAGCTGTTTTTTCAGCCTATTTGTCCTTGTGTTTATGATTCTGTACCATCTTCCAGATGGTAATAGTTCAAAAAAAAAGGGTGCCCAAGATGAGATGGATCTTTGAGAATGTTTTGAACTTTCTTAAGGCAGCGGTGGCTATAAAGCTCTTCCAAAAAGGGGAGAGGGCAACCAATGATCTTCTGGGCAATGACGTTAACCCTCGGGAGTGCTGTCCTATCTTCCACTGTGCAATGGGCAAACCATACACAGGTGCAGTAAGTTAAGATACTCTCTATGGTGCAGCGATAGAAGGTCACCCGCAGTTTTTCATTCAGTTGTTGTTTTCTGAGAAGTCTTAGGTAGTATAATCTCTGCCGGGCCCTTTTGACCAGTGCTGAAATGTGAGCACCCCAGGTCAGGTCCTTTTTCATGGTAGCACCCAGAAACTTAAAACTGGCCACTTGCTCCACTCGGTCTCCATTGATAAGCAAGGGCTGGATGTCTGATCTATTCCTTCTATAGTTCACTATAAGCTCCTTGGTCTTCTTGATGTTGAGGACCAAGTTATTGTCTCCACACCATGAAAGCAACCAGTCCACCTCATCTTGGTAGGTAGACTCATCACCCCTAGAGATGAGTCCCACCACTTTTTTTTTCAAGTCCCACCTTGAAACCTTTTGGGAGCCAGATCAGCTCATGAAGCAGTGGTATGATGCTAAAACACCGCAACTTCCTATACTGCTGGGCTCAGAACCAACTGTAGTTTTCAAATTGTTTTCAAGAGCTGCGCTATGTAGAGGGGTTTTATAATAATAGCCCACCAGATAGTATACTAGTCTATCTGGGAGGTAATCATGCATGAGTGACTTCATGAAGAGAACTTCCAGATCCAAGAATTGGAACAACTGGCACAGGAGATGGATCTGTGCAAAAACCCTGTTTTTGCACAGCTGAAGCTGCCACCTTCTACTTGAATCAGAGTCCTATATTTAGGAGGATCCTCAAATTACACATCAGTTTTGGCTGTGGAAAATATTATTCCATTGAGAACTAAAGATGGAAAGTCACTGGAGTCAAAGGACCCCCAAAACCCAAGGACGCTTACTTATTAATAGCAATAGCCACAGCACTTAGACATATACTGCTTCACAGTGCTTTACAACCCCCTCTAAGCGGTTTACAGAGTCATCAATTGCTCCCAACAATCTGGGTCCTCAGATTAAGGTTGAATCGAAGCCCGTTCTTTCCCATCTAGGCCCTCACAGCTTCCAGACTTCAAGAAAGAACCTTGATCGTGTCACTTGGTTCACACGGAGTAGGAATTTACAGCTGAGTTTCATCAGTGTACCTCAGCTTCTTTTACACAATTAAAAGGTATGTGGAGAACAGAGGTGGTATTCAGCAGGTTCTGATCAGTTCTGGAGAACCGGTATCGGAAATTTTGAGTAGTCCGGAGAACTGGCAGATTTTACAGTATCCTTCTCCTGCCACCCGCACCAAGCCACCCCCACAGAACCGGTAGTAAAATAATTTGACTCCCACCACTGGTGGAGAAGTTTGCAGCCCTGAATAATACTGCAAAGTAGAGGCTTGGGCCTGGAACTCTGGAACCAGCCCTGGAGGAAAACAGAAAAACACTGCAACACTATCCCACTCATTCTTAAACACCCCCCCCACATAGTTGGTGCAGAAGGACACCATGACTGATGGTACTAAAAGTTGCTAAGAGATCAAGGAGAGCCATAAGGGATGCACCACATAGGTTTTTTTTTTTATGTAGAAAATTTATATTGCCTCCAACTCTTCATGTGGCAATTCAAGGTGGCTTATTCTTATTCCTATTCCCATCAGAGGTATTCCATAATGCAGTCAATGCTATTTCAATACTGTCAAGGCCTGAAACTTCCCGAAATGGATCCAAACAATCTGCTTCCTTTAGTACAGGGCCTCCCTACAAGGGCCAATTCACCTCCATTGGGACCTAGTTGGGTGTCATCTCTTGGGAATCTTTACTAACCAGGAAGAACAAGGACTATTATACAGATGGCTGAGATCACAGCCTTCAGGAGGAGCAAGTTCAGACTCTTTTTAGGTCTGACAAATCAGACAACTCTATGTTTGATCAACTCCACAGGACCTGTACATCTTTCATATGAATAATGGGGTTAAGCTTTTAAAAAGGAAACGGGAGAAGCAGAATAGTGCTCCAGGGAGAGAGAAGAAGTGATATCATTGGATGGTATTGAATGAGAGTCTTTTAAAGAAAGCAAATACCTAAACCCTACACATAGAGTAGTCCCATTCAAAGTATAATTCACTCTTTGATATGATTTGACATGATCACGCAAGGTGTAATGTTCTATTCAAGACATTAAACTATCTGTTAAAAATAATCTCTGATTTTAGGTTCCTCCATATATTGCCACTTATAGAGCCATTGATGGACAAAAATGACATTTAGGTAGAATCCAATAAGAAAATGGGGAGTATTTTATCTTCAGGTCTCTTGATCTTTACATGAGTGTGATAAAAATGGGTTGAGTCAGGGAGGGATTAGTGCGTATCTTTTTTTCTGTATAATTTAGGTGTGGTTTTAAAATGAGGATGAAGAATCCATGTCGTCCCAACTACTAATGGAGACAAAACGGAGACAACTACTACCCTGCCGCCAACATAGCCATCAGGCAAAGACAATGGTGGTTAAGTGTCTAGTACCTAAAGGGCTCCAGTTCCTCCATCCAAAATTTCCTTAAAGTTTTCTGTCCTATCAAAACTTCTTAAAGATGTGGATTATTTCTTACATGAGACTCACCACAATCTGGGTTTCATTGTCTGTCAGAGTGTCAATAGTCAAACTCCTTCCTGAAAAATCTTGGCTGATCTGTGTCCTTTTGTCTTCAGTTGTGGTTTCCCGAATCTTTCGCTCCCCAATTTGAGAATTTTCTCCAGTGATGGCTCCAGGCCCCTGGGTCCAACCTTTAGGAAAAGAATTAAAATTATGAATTATATGTATAAATAAATATATATGAATTATTTCTAAGAGTCAGAATAGAATAGTTCCATGATGAATCATTTATAGCCATGAATCTCTTTTTGATAGACACTGGAGTCTTCCAACACTGTGTCACTAAAATTTGGCAGTCCAAAAATGCTAAGAGACAAACCCGGGACTTTTACAAATTAAAAACACTGCTTTGAATTATACCTAGAAATCTACTAAAGTCAATGCAGCACCCACAATATAAGTGTAAAGTGGCTGTAACAACACACTCATCAGCAGGTAGGTTGCTAGTGTCTTCATCAACTGTGATGTCCAAATAGTCTTCTAAAGTATCTCTGTTAAAGTCCATTGCAGCAATCTAGTCATCATGCGTTGCCCAGCTCTTCTAGTCCAGGCAGAGGTGTAGTAATGCACTGGCCGGATAAAGATGATGAATCCAACAATAGCTGCAAGTCCAAGAGGACTCCCAAGCTGCGGATCTGCTCCTTTGGGAAAGCAACGTCCACCCGAGTCACAATAGACAGGGAGAGATCTGACAAAAAAGCAATTCCATTTTATTACTGCTCAACTTTAGCGTGTTTCATCTTATCCAGACCCCTGCAGCCTTCAGAGTAACTTTTGCTTCTATAGCCTCTTTGACCCAAGCTTAGAAGTGTCAAAAGCAATAAACAGATTTCCTCTCCCAGTAATTTCTTATAGGTATTAAAAGGGAAGGATGGGAGTTAGGTTTACCAGATTTCTGAGCAGGCAAAGACAGAGATGGACAATTGAAAAAGGAGGTCTCAGTAACTGTTTAACTTACTCGGTATCCACAGCAATAACTACAAAAACAAAAAACACAATCAGGCCTACATATATATAAAATTATTTTTCCAGCATTGGAAAGACAAGCTTTTCAATCACAATATTTCTGAAGTTGAGAAGTATGTCCCATTTTTATTTAATTAAAATATCATTAATTACTGATGAGTCAATACAAAAATGCTTGCATCTACCTGTGTTCGTCTTTTGGCTATATTGTTTAAAATATCATTGTTTATTCATAACAAGTCAGGCTTTTAGAAAAACAATCTGAAGCAAACTGAGCATTTCAGTGACCATGGGAAATTGACGCTGATTGATTCTTGCAGGAACTGTGGTTTAAAAGTAGTCCTTGACATTTGACCACAATGGGGACTGAAACTTTTGTAACTAAGCAAGGAGGTTGTTAAGTGAGTCACACTCGATTTTATGACCTTTCTGACACTATTGTTAAATGAATTATTTCAGTTAACTAAATCACTTGGTTGTTATTGATTTTGTTGTTGGAAACCAGTTGGGAAAGTTGCAAATGGAGATCACATGATCTTGAGATGCTGCAACTATCATAATGTTGTAGACAAAGGCTTTCATGATTGGTTGGTTCCATTAGTGAATGTACAAATTCCATTCCATAAAGTTGTGTTACAGCCTTTTCCTATCCTATCCTGTCTGAGCCTAGCCAGCTATCCTATCCTAGCCTATGCCTCTTTATTTGCTATTGCACTCCTAATTTCACCCAGTGGTTTATTGAGGTGGTTATAACAAAATGATTTTAGAATGTGTTAATAAAATCATTTTATAACCACAAAATATTACAAATAATTAACATGCAATTGACAAAATAGCATGGGAAATACAAGGTAGAACACGCATTTAAAATCAACGAAGCATTATTTAGTGTTGGAATTTCTTCACAGCAGCAAGCAATATATATGTATGCATGCATTCATGTATGTATGTATGTATGTATGTATGTATGTATATGTATGTATATGTGTGTGTATGGATTATCTATCTGTCATCTGTCTAATCTATCTATCTATCTATCTATCTATCTATCTATCTATCTATCTATCTATCTATCTATCTATCTATCTATCTATCTTCAATATACTCTCAAAGAACAGAAAAACTAGGCTAATTCAGTGGATGAATCTGCTTTCGTTATAATTCAAATCCATCTCTTTCAACAGGGCATCTATTAACTATGAGTGAATCTGGAATTGACCCAGAAATTAAAAAAATACTGTGGGTAATGTTCATAATCTTTAGTGGAGAAGAGGTCATAATCTTAATTCTTTAGCATTTATAATGTTGGTGAAATCTCCCATTTTTATTAGCTCTGGTAAAATGTTCTTTGTGGTCACTGGCTTATTGGGAATGTGATTTTGCCCTGCCTCTCTTTCATGCCAATATCCTCTTTAAATCATCAAGCCACTGAGATAACTGAGTGGCCTAATTCAGAAGGGTAAACTACCAACAAGTTAAATATTTATATAAATCATGGCAGATCCCAGTGATAAAAGATCTAAAATACTGAAAGTAGTGTATTTTAATGCTGCTTTAACAGCAAAATATTTTCAGAATGAGTGGGGGGGTGGTTGGTTCAATATTCTGACTACCTTTTGTTAACAGGAACTACATATGATAAACATGAGTTAGAAAATAGTTTTTAAAGATAGGACTTATTTGCAGAATGTGAAAAACAATCTGATAAGTGGGAAATGCATCTAAGAAAGTATAGATTCCCCCCCCCCACATTCACAGTTGACCTTAAGGAACTGGTCCCAAATCCTGATCCTTGTAGCACAAGATCTTTTTTTCAAATAAACACTGTAAAATCAACATACAAACGATAAATCTTGACATATTTATAAATGCTGGAAGTTATTAATTAACAAAGAAAGCCAAGGGTAACTTTCAGCTTCATTCTGCATTCCTTGTTTTCTCTTTATAATCTGTCCTATAATAGTGAGATACTATCCTAGTAATAGAGTGGCCTGACTTTGAATCCAAAAACACTCGTTTATTTAAAGCATAACTAAATATATTTGTGCAAGTAAGAGTTTACTAAAAACTGTTTGCCTGCATTCCATAGTTGCCAACCTTAGAAGAAAGACTAAACTAAGAAACCAACACCATGTAGCTCACTACTATTTTTTTAACAGCTACAGTAACAGGATCTTGGGAGTCTAAGTGTGCCACCCTGGAAAGGGCTTATCTAAGAGGTTTTCTCAAGAGAAAAGAGAAAAGAGGTTTTCTTTTATCTGATTACTTCCTTGATAGGAAGTCTTTTTCCCTTCTGCCAGTTTTTTGTGGTAGGTGAGACTAGGAAACCAAAGTTATGAATGCTTAGATTACTTTTATGCTAGGGTTGTAGCAGGGGTGTCAAACTTGCATTATCACAGTGGCGCCACATGATGTATCGTGACTTTCCCCCTTCACTAAACCAGACATGGGCATGGCCAGCGTGTGATGCATCTATCCTGGGGGCCATGAGTTTGACAGCGCTGGCTTACAGTAACAAGTCTAAAATATGCTTCCCCCTTCATGCCTTTATCTTTAAAAAAACTAGAGATGGTCAAGTCTGAGACATTTTCTCAAGTTACATTTCTGCTCTGGACTCAAATTTCATTTATCTGGCTGTTGTCTTGGTTGAGATTCTTCCTCTTATTCCTCTGTGTCATTTTTACAGCTCATTACACTGTAAACAGAGAGTAGGATTCCTCTCAGGATGCTCTGATATGATTCAGATTCAGTATGTAACCATTTATGTAGGGCTACCAGATCTCAGGTGTGAAAATATAGAAAATGTAATTTATCTGATGGGAGCAAAGAGAGATTGCTGCTATCTACTGTATGACCACCCAGATTTTTACAGTCCAGATCTGGCAGTTCTAAATGAGCATCTTCTAAAAGGAGAAAATTAAAAAAATGTCATCCAGCCACACCATATTATTCTGGGCTTGCTTTCTGGAAAAACATATGCCTGTATCAGTGTACATGTGGCCAGCTTCCCCCACAAAAGCTCCATTTAGCCTTGGCTTGCATAAATGGCCTAGGAAGCCAGATGTTTTCCAAGGATGTTTGGTAAAACAACACTGGCTTAGCGGAGATGATGGAAATATATGCCTTGGGCATATACTTTCCTGTTTGGGGTGGTTTATTTATTTATTTATGTCTTATAGAGGAAACACAAAGCATCGTGACGAGAATGAAATCAACATGTGTAACTCAAAATCTCTAGGGTCATGTCAATTTTAAACAGCAAAGGTTTTAGGAGTAAAAACATGTAATTTTACTAAGCCAAATGACAGATTGGAGAGGCTGACATTTGACTTACATAAAACTGGTGCAATGATTTCAAAATGACCTAACATGAATATAATTTCCATGTTGAGCTGAAATCCAGTTTAATGCTGTCTTTACTGGTATTAATCTGAAAGTCAAATTTTGCTTTTTTAAAAATAATTATATTAAACATAAGAATTAGACTAAGCCACCCCGTAGAGGTGGTGAAGAGGGGGGAGACTGCCAGCAGGGTTGAGGAGAGCCGCATCTCTCCTCCCCAGCTGGCCATTACTCCCTTTCCCGAAGGCGGTTGCAGCGGTGGTCAGAAATGGCCACCACAAAGAGGAACTCGACTGGAAAAGAATGTGCAGGAGGAAGATAAGAAGAGAAAGTTTTGGTTGACCAGGTCAAACAGCAAAAACAACAAATAAGGTACCCTGGAATTGAAACTGTTAAAAAAAACAATAACATTGTTCCCTAAGAAGATTTTTAAGCTGCGAAGGAGAGAGAAAAGGGAAAAGATTTGGTTTTCTCCTTTTCCTATACTGACAGCTAAGAGACTTAAGCAAGAAATTGGAAAAAAATCCACTTTGACATCAATAGGCATTTAATGTTGAAAATAAAAAGTCAAAGGGATAATAAAGATTTCTGGATAATTAAAAGCTTTTGAAAACAGGAAAGGAGAGAGGAAGAATAAAAGGTCAGGATCTGGAAGGGAGGAGACTGCCTGGAATTAAAAAAGAACTTACAGCAAAATCTCAACAAGACTTCCAAAAGATACATTCTAACCGAAATATCGCAACAAAAACCCCAGGAAGAGAAAGTCGAAAAAGAAATAAGAAGATATAACTCGGGACTATCTGGATTACTTGATGATTTCTGG